TAATAAAATTTGCTGTCATCAAGAATTATTCTCGTAGAGTTCGATCAAAAATTAAGGAACTTACATGCAGACTTGAGAGTATATGCCCATTTAGTCCGATAAAAGCTCAAAATTTGAATTTATTTTGGCTTCGAGAATGCATCTATATCATTCTAACAGTGTTGCGTTGCGTTAGGTAGTTTATCCAGAAGCAAAAATAGAATTATTGTAGTGCAAATTCCATGAACAAAATTCAGCTTCCTGGAGGTGTCTACAGTAGTGAAAGAACACGTATGTTCCGGTTGATTCAGACTAGATAATCAGAAACTGTTTGGTCTATCAAGGAAGATGTTCAATGATTTTAGCGGTCTAAAATTTGCAAAAGGGCTTCTTTGTTAAAAAACGCAAAAGCGGCTGTTTCTTCGTGGGTTTCATCATAAACACTGTTGAGTTACGCTGTTTCGCTTCTTAGTAGAGATTGTAGGTGATTCGGTTTTTGGTAAATTTCATCGATGATGGATTGATGATGAACTGAGTACAGTGAAGCATTGTAGCCACTTTTAAGAATCATTGTCGTAAGTTGCAAACTGTAGCTTAGACAATGACTTTTTGGAGCAATGAGACATTAAGATGTTAGCGAAATTCAGTTTCGTGCTCGAATATTTTATTGTGGGTTGTTGAAAAACGATGGTTTCTAATAGTGTTAAAACGGGGATCGAAGAAAGTGTTCAGTTGGATCAAAAGATATTTGAGTGTAATTTTCAATTTAAATTGTCAATGTTTTGTTCAAACGCGCGCATAAATGTTTGTTCTGATATGATGCATGAGAAAAATTAAATTGAACAAAATGCGAAAGTTGTCTTCGCTGATTCGTGGGTCTTTGAAGTGACGTTGTCAGATTCTGAACTCAAATGAAAAAAAGTTTTGCATTGAGTTTGTGTTGGATTTACATTTGAAGCAGTTGCAGATCGTGATTCACCGGTAGCCGACCTAGTCTTATCATTTGACATCCTTTGATTTAGGAAACTAATTGAAGGTGCAATGTTTTCTTTGATTTTCAATGCGATCAGTTGGAGTTGATCAATTTCGAGACAACATTCGCCGTAGGCTTCTCAAATGAATCTAGGCAAACGAGTCTGAATCCCCTTATTTATCTATAAAAGCAATCAGTTCATTGATTGATTCAGTAGTAAAATTATAGTATTTTTTCAAAGAAAATGGCAGGTGCCGATGAAATTTGTAGTAAATTCAATCGCATCTAATCATAGTTTTCAAGCAAACTGTTTGCAAAAACTTTTTCTCTACTGCTTGAGACATTTTACCAGAAACTTGATTCGTTATTGAGTTTTCGGAGTCCCGTTCTAGAGGAGGGTTTGTGCAAGCACTTTTAGCTTGAAGCTCGTTATCACTAGCGAATATAACGTTGAGAAACCACAACCCATCCCCCATTCTGCCACCAATACACGAACATAAACTTAAAGGTCATTTTGTTTTCTTCCACCTAACCCTCCCACTTTTTAATAGGTGCTTTTGAAATTGTGGAGAACGCCAAAAAAGAAATAAAACCAAAAACTAATTCTTCACAAATTGAAAGAAAGTTAATTTTGTGGAGAATAGAGCCTTGGCGAACCCTTAAAAAAATTGTAGCTTGAAACTTTCACGTTCAAAATCTGAAGGACACTTTTTAGCTTATCTCTGATGTGAAAGACGCAAACTTGTAGCTGTCGCGCGAAAATGATGAAGCTAAATATGGACTGTAGGGCTAGAATATCGACCAAAAGAACTACTCACCAGAAGCCCACCGACTACATCAATTCTTAAAATTTCTAACTTAACCTACACAACAACTAGTTTGTTTCAGAGGGCTCAAACTATCAAAGCTTTTTTTAAAAAAAATCAAGAAAGGTTTTGAAAAGCCGGCTGCCGCTCACCCATGGAAGGTTAAAGAGGATGCAGATACCAACCCAAAAACTGGGGTCAAGTAAACCTACAAAATTCTTGAAGTTGCACGTTGTCAGGTTCTGAACTCAAATTAAAAAAAGTTTTGCATTGAGTTTGTGTTGGATTTACATTTGAAGCAGTTGCTGATCGTGATTCACCGGTAGCCGACCTAGTCTTATCATTTGACAACCTATGATTTTGGAGACTAATTGAAGGTGCAATATTTTCTTTGATTTTCATTGAGATCAGTTTAAGTTGATCAATTTCGATACAACATTCGCCAAATGCTTGCTTATGCTGGCACAGCCATCGCGATTAATCTTTAAAAGGAAGCTTCTCAAATGAATATAGGCAAACGGGTCTGAATCCCCTTATTTATCTTTAAAGCAATCAGTTCATTGATTGATTCAGTAAAGAAATTATAGTATTTTTTCAAAGAAAATGGCAGGTGCCGATGAAATTTGTAGTAAATTCAATCTCATCTAATCATAGTTTTCAAGCAAACTGTTTGCAAAAACTTTTTCTCTACTGCTTGAAACTTTTTACCAGAAACTTGATTCGTTATTGAGTTTTCGGAGTCCCGTTCTAGAGGAGGGTTTGTGCAAGCACTTTTAGCTTGAAGCTCGTTATCACTAGCGAATATAACGTTGAGAAACCACAGCCCATCCCCTATTCTGCCCACCAATACAACGAACATGAACTAAAAGGTCATTTTGTTTTTTTTTCCACCTAACCCTTCCACTTTTTTCATAGGTGCTTTTGAAATTGTGGAGAAGGCCAAAAAAGAAATAAAACCAAATCTAATTTTTTATAAATTGAAAGGAAGCTAATTTTGTGGAGAATAGAGCCTTGGCGAACCCTTAAAAAATTGTGGTTTGAAACTTTCACGTTCAAAAACTGAAGGACACTTTTTAGCTTATCTCTGATGTGAAAGTCGCAAAGTTGTAGTTGTCGCGAGAAATTGATGAAGCTAAATATGGACTGTAAGGCTAGATTACCGACCAATTGAACTACTCACCAGAAGCCCACCGACTACACCAAGTCTTAAAATTTCTAACTTAACCTACACAACAACTAGTTTGTACCAGAGGGTACCCAAACTATCAGAGCTTTTTTAAAAAAAAAAGCAAGAAAGGTTTTGAAAAGCCGGCTGCCGCTCACCCATGGAAGGCTAGAGAGGATGCAGTTACCAACTCAAAAACTGGGGTCAGTTAAACCTAAAAAATTCCTGAAGTTGCACAAAAGAGCCCTAAAATTCCGTCGCTGGAGGTCTAGCAGAACCAGTCAGAGCAATAGCACATTCTCCTTGGGGTCCTAACGTAAATAGGAATGCCAACCAACGCACACACAGAAAAACAACGCCCAGAAAACACCAAAAAATTCAAAGTTTTCGATTAGAATAGGAAAAAGATATTGAATTGAAGAACAAAATAACAAAAAATCATCTCTAAGTTGAATGTCTATTCTATATTGTTAGTTTTGAACGTTGTACTATATCTCTCTGTTCGTCGGCTAGAAAATTCTGTTCTAGTCTTTTTTTCAGGTTTAATCATAAAGCGTAATTTAGCGGATAAAAATTTCAAAAAATTAATTACGCAAATTGTATTTTGGAAAACTGTCATAATTTTCAGCATGATGAAAATTCAAAAACTTTGAAACCTCTCATGATCAGAAATGGAGTCCAGCCGGAAAAACGAAATGATTTTTGCAAAGCAATCAACTCGTTCATTTATATCATATAATCTGAACGTAATGTCGTGATAAACTCCTTCTTGCAAGTTAAACCCTTGAGAATTTTTTTTGGTTATTTTTCTGGGCTGGGTAATGTTGCCCCAAGCAACGACGAGCGCTGATCAGTGTGGACCTGAAACATCCAACCTTTCAATTGAGAGGCGGAGACGTAACCACTTCACCCCCGCTTCCCTGGGAACAACTGGGAACAAGCGACTACTGTTATATATAAATTTTTTCACTGGAATCATTTTCAATTTTTGTCAGTTTTTCAAAGCAATCAACTCGTTCATTTATATCATATAATCTGAACGTAATGCCGTGATAAACTCCTTCTTGCAAGTTAAACCCTTGAGAGTTTTTTTGGTTATTTTTCTGGGCTGGGTAATGTTGCCCCAAGCAACGACGAGCACTGATCAGTGTGGGCCTGAAACATCCAAACTTTCAATTGAGAGGCGGAGACGTAACCACTTCTTCACCGCTTCCCTGGGAACAACTGGGAACAAGCGACTACTGTTATATATACATTTTTTCACTGGAATCAATTTCAATTTTCGTCAGTTTTTCAAAGCAACAGAGAGAGCACCAGAAAAGACCCCTTTTTTCAGAGAAATGTCTGCCATCCGAACCCTCTGTCATATGAACAGCCCCAAATCCAACCCGGGGCTTTTTCCTATTTATGACTCTGTCCCGATCCGAATATATCTTCACCTGTTTGTAATTGCGACCACTGTCGAAATTTTGGAATTGTTTTGTAACAACACCTTCTGTTTTGCCTTTCAGAGGGAGCACTCTGCTGTTGAAATTTAACCATTCAAGTGCGAGGGATAAAAAATTCCGTTTGCTGTTTCCACAAGCCAACCTTCAATTTCTTAAAACCGATTAACTAGTTAGAAACCTTATTAAACAGGTTTGAAGAAGTTTCAGAACAATTTTTTGAAAATTCATTGATATTTTTTCACTTTTTTCTTGAATAAAAATTTTATTCAAACAAAAGACAGAGAAAGTTTTAACAGTCTAGAACGGACAAAATATATGATTTGTTTAAACTGTCAAATGAATAAGATTGAAGTTCATTGGTCAAATCTGGATTTATTATTTTTTTTTTCAATTATTTTTGAGTTTAAACGCCATTTCGACTTGTTTCAAAGTAGGATAAATTTCACAGTTAATGTTTTTTCTAAACAAGACCGGTGAACTAAGCTGGGAATCAAAATCTTGAAACAGTTAGTTCTGTTACAACTTAAAACACCGTGGGACCTTCAACTGACTGGGAAATTATAAAAATAGATATCGGAGTTAAAGGGACCGTGAATTTGAAATAAAAAGGAATTTGTTCACATTCTGGTCCTTAAGTTTACATTTCAAATAAAACCTCAGTCTATATTTATGTTTCTGCAGACAACTTTCTTGAATTCAAACGTTGACAAAAATCCTTTTCTTGGGAAAATTATTACGTTTAAGGTATGATTTGATTTTCGGAGACATTTTCGATTTCTTCTATTTTTTGACAGTCGAGTTTTTATTTACCAATATGATATTATTTTTCAAAATAGACTCCAAAATTGTTTACGATTTTGCATTCATCAATTGTAATTCAACCAGGTAGTATAAAACCATTAGACGAGAACAACAAAAAATTATATAAACTAGGTAATAAGATATATATTGAGATACACCAGCTTGAAAAAAGTTTGACTATCAATTATAAGTCGGAAGCCTGAAACCACATCAAACCAACAAACAAGAGTACAGTCTTTTGTTTTCCAAACGGAACGGAAAATTTAAAACAGTTACCGTCGCAAAACAGAATTAAAAAAAAAGAAAAAAGTACGACTTCTATACAGATCACAGAACTGATGCATCTTTTAACTTTGTTTTTTATTTTTTTTTTCGTTTAGTTCGATGGTGTAATATGAGAAAATATTGTCAAATTGAACAAAAAAACGTACATTTGCACAGGTTGCTCTTAAATTAAGTGAGGTCATTTTTGTTCCGAGCACTGAAAATGGGAGAAACTTAGTCTTCACGTGTGCTTTATTCTTTCTATTTTTTGTTTTCCACGCAACTTCAGGTACCACAAATAATTATCGGAATGGTTTGGGTGATCTATCATTTTAAAGACCTTTCAGTCTCGATTCGAAAGTTATTTAAAATATTAGGAAGTTTTGACGTGAGCCTTAATATGTAAACCTTAACTGTTTAGGGACCTTGTAAGCGGTCATTAAACAGTATTAGGGACCTTGTAAGCGGTCATCTCGCCCTCTTATGATAGCAGTCCATTGCGCATATTAATTGAAATTCCCGGTTCACATTGAGCGTCAGAAATTTGCCCTCTTAACTAGATATGTTTTTTTAAATCTTTTAAATCTCTTACTTGATCTCAACGTAACTTAAAAAAGTCTGCCTAATGCTCCAACACACCCCTTAAGGATGGGCATCACGTGTGTGACCTCACTTTCTAGCTTTAAGCTGGGCCCAGAAATCTGTTATAGCTATTGAACTTTTTCTACTGTTGATACTATATCAGTTTCAATCATCGAAGTAAACCATTTGGGATCTAGTGAGAGGCTCTCCCTTTTCTATGGTTGCAACCTCATTGCTTTTTTAACCTGATCTACGTGGTCGACAATAAGAGTTCAACTTGCTCTCTGAACCAGAGATGTCTTTCAACCTCCTAGATTTCCAATATGATACCGACTTACTCTAAATAGAGCATGCTTTTTGCTCTAATACTGGGTCCAAAAAACTAACTGGTACCGGGTCTCTAAACAATTTTTTCAGCTTACTGAAGAGTTTGTTTTCAAAAAATGTGTGTGTCTTATTCTGTTAGATGAAAATTCAAAGATGGAAACATAAGAAACACAGCGGCATAACATATTAGCTTTAGTACAATCCGTGGTACTTAAACGACAACCATGTACTCTTGCTATTATCCTCCGCCCACTCAAATACTTGAGCAAGTTTTGGTTTGAAAAACTGAATGATCCTTAAAAAGTTCAGTTTAAAACTATAAAAACGCATAAAATGAAAGCAAATTGATAGATAACCAACAAAATGTTTTAATAAGAAGTCATCGACTGTAAATTTTTTTGCACCTACAAAAAAGCCTTTGGGCATACACTCACCACTCTATCCTGATGATTAAGTATTCATGGACATTTAAAATATTTATTAACAAACATATTCAGCTTAATTCTCAGCGGGGTTAACATACAAAAGAGAACAGCACTCTTTACAAAAAGGCTTAATGTAATTTCATTATATCGGCCCAGTTTTCAAGAAAAAAACTGTAGCTGCATTGCAAAAAGGTTGATTAGAGAACGAGGCAGATGCTCTCATGGCTTTTCCCTGAAGTCGAATGCTAGATTAAAAAACAAAAAACTGGAGCTTATGTTAGGGAGCAATCGATTTGGAAGTGCAAAGAAACCGAACCGTTCCAAGTTAAATTGAAAGGATGCTTTCGTATGATTCAAAAAGAGGTAGTCTGTTTTCGTTTTCAAATAATGAAAACATATTCAAATAAACAGTTTTTTGTTCGTTTATTTCAATTCGGTTGGTGTACTGAAAACAGATTTTATCGAGTTTTTTGCAGTCATTTTTCGGAATTCAACTCATTATGTATCATAAGCTGTTGTATTATTTTTAACATTCCTAAGTTTTTTGTTAGTCTTCGGCCAAATCTTTTCCTCGGCCAAAAGTAAGGCCTCCCTTAGAACTTGTATTCCTCTCCGTCGAGACAGCAAAGGTAGGATATATCGAATGGGCGGATCCTTACGAGAAAACAAGAAGTGATTTATTTCAAATGGGAGATATGTGTGCCGATATTGGCTTCACGCTTTTCATATCTGATTCGAACCGAGGTTGTCTCGAACACCACCAGTAACAACTGCTGATTTATTGCTTTTGCGAGAAAACAATTTAATGAGAGTATTTGGTCAAAGTACAGTAATTTGTTCCAGTAGCGATTTAGGAACGGCGGGTATGGGGAGGGGGACAAAGCATTATAGGAGGACTTGGCACAAAGAAAATCAACAAATTCGACGCCCTGAACCCCACTCAAAAGGCGTCCTCCATCCGAGTTTGGTTGATTTTTAAAAAAAAAATTGACATTATTTTCGAGAAAAAAACATTTTGAAATCCCCGAGAAAATCCAAGACCCACCCCTGCTTATTAACAACTTATTGAACACCTGCCCTGTTGCAAAACGGCGATTCTTTAAAAGCTTCAATATTGCTACCCGTTGCATTATAGAAGTGGTCATTATTTACAAATGGAGTGGAATATGTAACTGAGGTCCAGTTTTAATGATCTCAAACAACTATTTCGGCTTTTGTCGGTTTTTAGACCTTAAACAGAACTCGATTAGATACTCAAATTTCTAAAGAAGAGACGCAATACCAAAGAAACGCAATTTTTGGCACAGTTGGGTCTTTTGTCTTTTTATTCGAAACTTTTTGGAAAAGAAATCAAAAATCTGTCCTCATCTCGCGAAAAACTTATATCAGCCCCCTGTTTAAAAGTAATGTTACTAATGAGCACTTGGGTAATCTAACTAAAATAAGCGTAGCATAAGATTTAGGATACGCTCAAGTTCTACAGTGTGCTCGTTGCTCTCATGAAAATGTTCAAAATATAAGCATCAAAGTAAAATCGGCCGTTCGGTATTTTACTTGAAACTGATAAGAAAAAGTTAAGTTACTGATGTTGTGGCCATTGAGACTTTTTTGCGACCGATGTAGAAAATCAAGAGAAAAAGGGTGTTAACATAACAAAAACACTGTCTTGAGGCGGAGGCGAAGTTGCACTTTGCATACATAACGAAAGGAAAAGTAGTTCACATTACCGATGTCGCCGCACAGATCCCAAGAGTGAAACTCTAACCAGTCTTTCGGCAATTTTCTTTTATCCGAATTTCAAACAGAATGGAATATTTATGCTTGGGCCGTTTTGTTTTTACAATTTTTGCCTTTTTAACTAAACAGTTTTGACGTAATTTTTGTATGCTATCCAAAAAATATTGTTATCCGGTGCTGAAATCCCAAAAAAAACTCACTTTTGATCATTTTTTTTGTAAAATAAGGGGGTTTGAAAATTGTTATTTGGCATATATTGAATAATTAACGCGCGATTTTTTGCGTTCTTATCACACGCGTAAGCTGCGAAATTACTGCGTTCGAAATTAAATTGAGGCAAGCCATTTAATTTTTTTAATTAGAACAGACACTAAATTCTTTTTTTTGTAGTTCCACTTAGCTTGTGGAAAAATAAATTGATGAAAAAATATTAAAACCAAAACATTTTGTTTCTTTTGTTTTTTTTTGAAATATTTTGTCAAACTTTTTATCAAAAAAACAATTGGCCTCAAAATGCAATCGGAACTTCCAGGGATTCTTCCCTATATACAATCAGTTTAGTTTTTAATTCAATTTTTAAATTATTACAATGCAAGGCTAACTTATAATAAATCTGATTGACAAAGTTGTAGAAGTAAAAATTTTTAATGACATTTTTCCAGCAAATCGAAACTTAGACGAAAATGAACTTTCTACATCTTGTTGAAAAAATAAAGTATTCTCATAACTCGTTTTTTAGTTTGGGCAGAAGGCCGTTTTTTATGAAAAAATAGAAAACATATCACTGTAACAGCAACATTGATCACGACTGTGTTTTCCAGAAAATCTGAAAAAAAAAACATTTTTCAGTTTATGTTCTTAGGGTTACAAAAAAGGTACCGCCGCTAAAATTGAAATTTACAGATCATTAGTACCGACTCATAAGTTCATCGTCAACTCATTTTTAATTTAAGCTTGCAATTCAGAATTAATTGATTGTTTTTCAGATGCTTAAAGAAGTACAAACAGCTCAAAGCCTTTTTAGGTAAAAAGTCTGAGCCAAAAAATTAGATCACATCGAATTTTTTTGTATATCATAATAAGCATATCCTTCACTTCTTGGACGTTCACCCGCAAGGAAAATGACCAACAGAAGAGTTGTGAACCGGCTTTTCTCTTCTAAGAACCGCTTTTGTGCCCCTTCTTAAGAGCTATATGCAATTTTGACAATTTTTTTGGGTTGGTGATGTTGTATCACCCTCAAGCAACGAGCGCGTGTCATGGCTGGCCTCGAAAATGCAATCTTTCGATTGAGAGGCGGAGACGAAACCATTTCACCACCACTTTTTTAATCCTACAACCTAAAAGTAAAAGTAAAAGTGGGACCAATTTTTCGATAATTTAATTATGTCCAATGAATCGCAGCAAAATGATTTGATACTAAAAAATTTTTTCACTCTGGTTCTCTTAAGATCAGAGAACAGGTAAAAAAAATTGCTTGCAGAAAAGTTATTAAATGCTTAATAAAATTACAGTTGAAAAAACTTTATGTTGCTTTTTACTAGTTTGACATTTGAAGACCATTTTTGACGTAACTTACTTGTTGCTTTGCAATAAGCAACAAATATTCCGGTCATAATTGTAATTGCCACTCATATAAAACACAAATGGATAAAAAGGAACTGTTTTTAACTAATCTGAAATTTATATGACTCTTTTTTTTCCTTTAAAGGTGATTGTCAAAAAATTCCAAAAATAAAGCAATTAAGTATTCATTCACAGAGCTGAAGCGGAGCTTCGCACCACTTGCAAAACAACATAGACAAAAATATTAGAAATCGAACAAAAAGAACTTTGTTGAAAAAAATCTATGTCGCGATATAACATAACCAGGGGCTCAGCTAAAACTTGAGCAAGAAAAAAGATATTTGTGGATTTTGTATACCAATTAGGAAGTAAATGGGTGATTTCAAAAGTTGTACTTTGTCCAAAACCTTGTTTTTTTTTCTACTAAAATAAATAAAAGGAGTAAAAATGTTTGCCACTTCTGTAGGATCAATTATTACAACAGGTTCTTTCAATTGAGTTTTTCATCTGATTTGAGGAAAATTCAACAAGCTTCTAAAAAACGGTCAAAAGTTTTAAAAAGTGGTCGAAAGACTTTCCAAAACCCTTGACATTTTTCTGCAAAAAGCTGGTTGTGGTCTCTCAACAGACAAAATTCTTAAAACCGGGTTTCTCGATTGATTACAACCAAGGAAATTGTCCAGTAGTTTTAACGTTAGAACTGGCAGGGTAGTTTTCGAGAAAAGTCGAAAAATTTCCAAAAAACGGTCAATAAATCAAAATTTTGACTTTTTGCGAATCATAGTTTTTTCTATAAAAATATTTGAGCGTACCCATTTCTGAAGAAAACATTCGCACAAACTGTTGTTTCGATTGACAAAAAACTCAAGATTTGGGAGGGTAGTTTTTGAATCAAATAGTATCAAATAGTATCAAAAAGCGGTAGAAGAACCAATTATTGACTTTTCCGAGGGCCATAATTTTTATGTAATAAAACGATGGGGTAATCATTTATGCAGGGGAAATTCCCACGACGCATTGCTTCAATTGAACTTAAAATCTCAGATTTCGGTGGGTAATTTTCAAAAAAATACATTAAAAATTTCGAAAAACGGTAATAAACAATTATTATAGGCTCATGCAAAAAACTTTCTTCAAATCGTTCTATTGATTGAACCTAAAATCTCAGATGCAGGCTGGTATTTTTGAAAAAAAATTGAAAAAAAATGATAAAAAAACAATCGAACCTTTGACAACTCCGAGGGCCATAACTTTCCATGTGGACAAATAGCAGCTGGGCGTGGCAGCTTCTGCAGAGGAATTGTTTTTGGCATGTTCTCTCCATTGACCACAAAATTTCACATTTGAGATTAGTTTTTGAGAAAACAAAAAATGAAAAAAAAACATGAGTAAAATATTCCCACCATTGACTTGTTCGAAGGCTGTAGCCAGTAGGGTAAAGTAAAACGAGTCTAAGAAAAGAATGCGGTTTTTCCATATTTACAACTTCATGAAGTTTCGTTGAGTAGTTTTTGCTAAAGTTTTTGCAAAAGATTTTGAAAACATTCGAAAGCTTGTCATAAAAAAAATAACAAACTCATTCCATCTTTTTTCATTATGCCTGATTTTGTCAAGCAGGAATTTTTTGGCCGTCTAAATTACACAAAATAAATTTATTCAACCAATGCAAGATCAGTCAAAAGCATTTAATCGAAAAAAAACTCATAAGAAATGTTCAAAATCACACTTGGTAAAATGACAGCTTTACAGAAGTTTCAAATGTAGTAAACAAATAGAATCGAAACAAGGATAGCCGGTTACTGTGCAAGAAGCACAGAATGTTCTGAACATAGTCTTGAAAAGCACACACTTTTTTTTACTAGAGTCGTTTTTCTACGTGGTGTGATAAAAAGATCTGAACAAAAAAAACTAAAACTTCTGAAAAAAACTAAAAATAGGAATATTTGACAATTATAAAAAATAAGAAAACTTCGCAACAGTGTTTGAAAAAAATACCAAAAAAAAATGCACAGAAAAAAAAATTATTATAATTTTTTTACTACAATTTTCAATGATCGGAACAATAAAATCCATGCTTTACAAAGCAGGCCATTAAAATTTCGTACCACATAACACAAAAAAAACACGGAAAATAACTGTCGGAAACTAGGCTGAAAATCACGAATTCGAAAAAAATTTACTACGCGAAACTTACTCCACCTATTAAGTTCTAGATGAGGTAGTTTTGTTTCAAGGTTCAATAAATTGAGCATGTCTTGAAATTTAGCATTCCTACAAAATTGACCATTCTGTGAACAAAACTTTTAAAAGGAATTCTAGTACCCGATTGCAATGCCCTTGTACCCGATTGCAGAGGTTTGAAATTACATACTCTCAACACTTAAGATGACCTAGCATTGCTCCCTAGAAACCGCAAGTCACCATTTAAACTAATAAAACTTCAATGCAGTTTTTCTCGTCTTGATATCGTTTTTCAAACTTTCATTACTTATCAAGTCACAACTAAAAAATCAATAGCATTTTTTAGTTGCAGTATCTAATTTTTAGCAAAAAAATCATCCACAATGCCTAAATGAAACTCGCTGGTAACTTTATTTAAGCTAGCTAGCTAAAAAAACCTAAGTTTTGTATTTACAGACTCAAAACTTGTCACTTTGTAATTGACATTGCGTGTTAGGGGAAAAATTTATTGCGTGTTAGGGGAAAACTTTAAAATAAATATATCAAAAGTTTCAATGTTTTTTTTTGCTTTTTTGATTTCACCAAAGGCTGCATCAGAAAAATCAAACGGCAGCCCTAACATTTGGGACTTTGTCCTTGTCCTGATACGAGCAGCATAGTTCTAATTGCAACGAAATGTCTCCCTTCTCTAATCTCCAGTAATCTATAGTTCGCGCTTGACATTAAGATAAAAAGGCTAAATGATTTATCTTTTTTTTTGGGTTGTTCCAAAGGGAGTAAAAACTGTATACTAGCAGAAGAAGTGTGGAACACACTTGATTGTGTGTGCATTTGGCTGTTGCAGCACTTGAATGCCGTTCCGCAGTCATTTCTCCCCCACTAAGCGAATTGCGAACCCCTTCCCAGTACAAATTCCTATCCCCAACCTACCACCTCGCGTCTCTGCCTCCAATTCAAATCAGTACCCAAGTATTTTCTCTTGACAAGAATGAAATTAGCCTACGTTTCTTTAGACCTGTAAGTCTCTAAGCCGAATGTTACATCCTATAACAATGTAGTAGTTACTCCACACAAGAAGATGAAGTTATTTCTTGATTCTATCATCAAATGAAACTTAAAATCCGATTTTTGAATTGAAATTTGTTCTATTTAGGCTAGCTAGGTTTTCGGTTTGTCGAGCTGATACCTTGAAATTAGAGATAAGCCAGTGTCTCTATCGTGACAGGAATGTCTAGATGAAGAGCTATTCTAATCACAAATTTCCTCTCCATCTTACGCATAGGACTATATATACCAAAATTCCACCTAACCCAACACTAATCATGGCCCAAACAAACCAAACGGACAAATTGGCAGACCCATAAACAGACGCCAATCAAGTCGAAATCTGCTTATGATGCTACTGCATCATTCTGAAATTCTGAAATTCAGACCAAAATTTTATTTAAGAAAAAAACACTTTTTTTCAGAAACGTTTGGTTACATCCTGTTTTTAGGCTGGAATTTATTCCTAGTTATATCGAAAAACACGTTTAACATCGGAAGATAATCTATTTTTTGTAACCAGTTAAAGATTTTTCCGATAGGTTGGAACATTTGATCCAATTGCATTTTCCCCCTGAGTAATATAACACGCGCAGTTTCTCTTTTTTTCAACTAGCAGAGAACAACATCAAAACTAGCACAGGCGGCGACTGCTTTTCATTTGGGCAACTATCCCATTCCCAACTTTTCCCTGTTTTTTCATTCTCTACTGTTTTAATATTGTTTCACAGGCCGTGTCACAAAAAGGCACCTAAGTACTAACCGTTCTTAGCAGTGCTTCACTTCTAAATGTAAAGAGCATTGGACCGCACTTAAAATTAGTGCAAGCGAGAGAAAGAGAGAGGGCTGAGATTCAATCTCTAATCTGCACATAGCCTCTTACCAAGTAGAAGCATGAACGAAATTCGATCTACTTTACCAAGCAATGTTCCTGAAATTTAGCTGCCAGCAAAATTACCAACTTTACTTATCCGCCAAATACTGTTACGGCTTGTTTTAGAGCTCCCTTGGAATAAAGAGTCCGACATTTACCTTTTATCAAGTTCTACCTAAGTATTTCTGAGTATTTTGCGTCGAAATTCAACAAATAAGCATCCAATATTTATAGATTTTTAGAATTTTCCAATATTAAGAAGATTTTTTTTCGACCTCAAAAAATTTCCATCTTATATGGCACTGATATTGAAAGCAATTTTTTATTTCACAAAAAAGCAACAAAAATAGAGTACCGTTTTTAATCCTTGCAATTGGTATAAAAACTTTCATTTTAAAAGATATATTTATATATATTCGCTATTGCGTATACATTTCATTTTCAACCATTTTTGTTATTATAATTGTTTGCACCATTTAAAACTAACATTGTTTCAGAGCTTGCCTGGAGTCACAACGGATAGTTTGCATTCATACAAGTGAACTGTTGGTTTAAATCTGCGATGGAACTGCAAAATTTATCCAGTGATTTTACGAGAAGACGCTAGACTTTTATAGCTGTTGTTTATTTTCGTTTTGTCGTCCTTTATTTGTTGATGGCCAGCAGTAGCGGGGGTGCCCACTCGAGTAACGAATACACAGCTTCTGTAGAGCACGATTTCTCAACTGGGGGCAGTTTATCGCCACAGGCGGCGTCCGTTATTATCACCGAAACCGCTTCCAGTACCCAGATCCAGGTCTCGACTCCACTTGAAACACGCACGGCATCCTTGGTTGTCAATCAGAACACTCAAATCAATTCTTGCAACGCCTCGACATCAGAATCCCAAACATCGGCAAGAATCTCGGCCACTCAGTCCTTAAACAATCCCGATTTTTCAGTGGATTCCTTGCAAATTTTCGTTGCACCTAGAAGCTCATCCACTGATTTTAGTCAATCTGCGCCCGGTGACAATCCAGAACTTCATGATAATCCCCCATCTGTTAGTCTAAAGTGGTCCAGCTTAATGAACAGATACCAAGAACTTTCGTCTGAAATTGGTTACACGGAGGATATGGAAGCGAAATGCGAACAACAGTTAGCTTCAATTCGCGCAAGAAAAACTCTTCTAAAAGAAGTTCAACAAGAAACGGAATCTATGCTAAACGATGGACCCCAGAGTGTATCTAATCACAACTCCGATCAGAAAGTCACTGGGACAAATAAAAGTTCAACGCTTCCTCACGACTCCAGAAGTGCACTTTCAAGTCCTGGAATGAGTAGCAAATCCAGGTCATCCACTATGTCCGCTTTGCCTCCTGGATTCGAGGGTTCCAGCATCCCACTTCAGCCCAAAGCAGCACCGGCTTTTCAATTCAGCCCTGGTCCAATTTACCACGACCCTCTTGACTACTTAGGACGAACGGGTGCACCTTTTTTCTTTCCCAACATGTCATCGTATTTAGACACGAAAGTTTTTAAAGAAGGTCAGCTCATAACAGTCAGCAGTGAATCATCAGAAGAAAGTCTAGATGACGCAACTGCATTGGAAGAACTGACGCCATATTTTGGAGTATCGGATCTGAGTAAAAGTCTGGACATCTCTGAGACTACCGACGCTCCAAGTTCGGTTCAAATGACAGACGACTATCAGGAAGTCTTCGGCGATCCGAGAAACGACGATCTTGTTCAGGAAGCTTCGTCTGATGTTTCTGCATTGATGCAACGATTTCTCAAATTCTCCGAAATGCATCAAAATGAGCCGTTGGATAACTTAACAATTGATGTCAATAACGATGAAAAAGTTGTCGATAAAACACTACAATCGGTAGCTCAGACAAATCTCGGCGAGAATAGCCGAACGCTGCCGAATGATTGTGTTTCCTTGGATCCTGTGGATGATAGACGGCTTCAGAAGCTCGAGTCGCAGACTACGACTACTGGGGACGACAACGCGGTCGGCAGCAGCGGCGGTGATTCAGCTAGTGACGTCGAGAGTCTCAAATCAGAGATATATGTGCTCAGATCAAAAATGCAGAAATTAGTTAATTATACTCCTGGTGAGAATTCCATACCATGTTTGATGCACAACTTTTCAAATGAACTTATGAAAGGATTTTGAATTTCTAATGTGTTTTTTTTTCAATGAAACTTTACGCTAGGATTTGGGTAATTGCGACGGTGTTTGGGCAGTTTTATGGCTAACTTAAGCGAGTCTTGTCGAAATTTTTTGGTCTGTTTTGTCATTATTTTTCGCTCTGCTGACAGTTTTTGATGTGAAAACATGACCGCAAAATAATCAAATGTCGTCTACGTTCAAACGGCCTAATATGTTATTTTTAGAACATGCCAACAAAAAAGCATATCGAAGCAAGATCACAGAAGTGCAGAAACAGCTGAAGTGTCTAGAGGAGATGATTTCACATTGCTCCTCCCCCTCACACGTGTCTGCCTCCGCTCCCCCGAAACCACTACCCAGGGCTCCGCTCTCTCTCCCAGAAAACAACAGCGCCAACAACATCGACACAAACAACAGCAAGGGCAAAAGAAACAACAATAATAATAACCGACAGTCAGTCTCAAAAGAGGTGAGTAATTTAGCGTATTTTTGAAGAAAAAAAAAGTAAAAAAACTCGAAAAAATTCGTTACTATTAAAATATCTAAACATGCATACATAAATGAGTCATTTGATAGCTTTTTCTGCAAAACTAAAGGTCAGTCCAAAATGGGTGAAAACTTTCAGCTTAGTAAAACATGGAACGCTTTGTCGTTGTCAAGGTCATTGGTAAGCAATTTGGACATTAGTAGTTTTCGATTGGACTGGTCCCAGAATTAAATCCAAAATAAGCTGCAAGTGACTGTCATATAATTGTGTATTTAATGATAATCTAACAAAGCTAAAAATACTCTAAGTATAAACCTGTCACTTAAATCAGATTCCAAAGTTGCCCTCCTTTCTCAGTGGCCCACTGCAAAGTTGCCCTCCTTTCTCAGTGGCCCACTGTCTCCGGGGCTAAAACGCAGGTTTATTACCTAATTGAATAACAGCCGTATCGCAGCATGTCGCCATGTCTGAACATGGGGTACATTTGATGGCGGACTTATTAGGCTATTTACAGACGATAACAGTTGGTCTGGCTTCAAACGCCACAAGACATATCTACGAGATAAGCTAATTAAAAAACAAATCACTTTGAATCAAACTGCTGCACTGACTTTGAATACACCTACAAAAATTAACGCATCGTTTTTTGATTTAACTAACTTTGAACTTAAAAAAATCACATCCTATTTAATTTTCTTTCACATCCAGAAAAAAAAACATTATTTTTAGCGGTCAAATGTTAACTAGGCTTAATTATGACATCATATTCAATTAAGTGCGTCAAAGATGTTTCTCATAGATTTTAAACAAACACTAGGATTTGCAAATTTTCAGACTGCTGAGTTTTGAAGGCCTACTCAAATAACTTTTAAAGAGCAAACACAGCCGGCTACTGTGCAGTCATAGGAACACATGTACCTCCGCAAAAGAGCAGTCTAAAACAAAACAATATCTTCCCTGTTTTTACAATAGAATGAACCTAACTGTATTAGGCGAATGCCTAAGAAAAATAGTTCAACCAAAATTCATGTCACTTGGGAATAATATCCCAGACGCGTTCTTAAGCATTGTGCAGAGTAATTTTAAACTATTAAGGCGGAGTGATTAACTAACCAATTTTTTTTGTTCCGACTTTCGATACGAAAGTAACGGAATATTTGTGCTCGGGGTGCGTTTTTCTTCAGACAAATTTCAACTTTTTAACTAAACATTTGGAATTTTTTTAATCATTCGAAAGGTATTATTTCCTTGAGCTTAAATTTGAAAAGATATTTCACCTGAGATCATTTTTTGTTAAGTTATGGGGGTTTAAAGATTGCCATTTTGACCAATTTGGGACAATTAACGCGCGATATATTTCGCGCTATTAACGCGTAAGCAGAGATTTAATCCGTCTTAGAAATCGTTCCGAATTGGTTTAAGGAAGCCTATATGCCATAATTGAGTTGTTAATAGGAGCAAAACCTCTCACTTTGTTTTTAAAATGGCGTGTGGGGGGATGTTTTTACAAAAAATCTCAAAGTTTTTTAAGAAAACTTTAATTTTATTTTAATACATTTATTTTTCATGTTATTATTCATGTTATTATTATTAAGAGGCAGTCGGAACATTAAGGGTTTTGCCTGATACAAGCAGTCTTGTTTACTTAAAGCAACAAATGTCTCAAGTTTACCGAGCGTTAAAAAATACAAAAAAGTTACTTTTCAATGCAAGTTTTTTCAATATATTTGAATACTTTTCGAAATATGCCTTTAGATAAGTATGTAACGCGTATTTTGCATAGTTTGAATATTTCTATAGATAAAAAAGATTCGAACTTTTGGTCATGTTTAGGAAAAATGACCACCTTAACAATAAACTAGCGGCTCTTTAAAATCATATTTTGATTTTTTTGAAGTCCGAAAAATAAACGTCACTTTCAAACTTTGATAATAAAAAACTAAAAAATTCGCTCGTTAGTTTAAATTAAACAAAACAAATTTGATCAGCCTTCGATTCTGAATCGTGTATGCCATTTTAAACTAAATGCTATCACAAAACCTTAGTCAAATTTGTCATAATATTTTGGATGTTATAATTTTTTTTTATAAAATACAGTTTTTTTTTCGAAACGCTTGCTTTTTAAGTTATCAGTTCTTTATCCTTAAACAGTTCAACTTTGTGCAACTAATAAGTTTGCTCCCATGATTTTAGCACGAATGTTTTGTGAGGCGAGCAGCAATGCTTTGTGTTCCAAGGCTATTTTATTTAACCAAAAACAGGAACATTTTTCGGAATATGTTCAGAACGGAGGAAGGAACTTGGCCGAATCAAAATTGATAAATCTAGGCTTGTTTTGGAGGCTTCAAATAGCTAGCATAATTTAACTAGCTTAAGGGGTATTCTTATTGAGGAAACATCCTCGCAGACAAGACAAGGTTTTTGATATTATGGCATTAGATTGATATTTTGGAAGATAATGAGCTTGACTTACTTTTTGACCCGCGGAAAAACCGACGGAGAAAAAAAAGACCAAATAACTTGGTTCGGTGTTAAAAAACGGCTAAATAGTTATGAGTAATTTTGCGCTAACTATCGAAAATTGTCAACAAACGAACTGTTCCAGCAAAACTCCAAAAACAACTACTCTGGTCCATTTACAGGATTATCATACGCTGTTTTTTTGCCTAAATTTTGTCTAACTATCTGGCAGGCGCGGATCTAAAATTTTCTCTAGGGGGCGGACTTTCAAAAAAAAATTGAACATTTTGTCGACCTTTTTTTTAGGTCGACCAAATTGATTTTCTGAGCTCTCCCAAATCACTATAAAGACCCCATTTCAACCAACTTTTCTGCACCGCAGGCAAATTTGTCAAAAAAAAAAACAGGCCAAGAAAGGCTTTTTCAAGCACTTTTTGGAAAATATTAACCAAAAAAAATTTTTTCGGCTCGCGCTCCCCCCTCAAAATTAGTATATATTGGCGCCAAAGGCGCCTTTAGAAAATTTTTAGGGTCAGTCAGCCAAAAATGGATATCTCAAATAGTACAAAGGGGGGACCCTTTGGGTCGGCAGGAAGTCGAATCCCGGAGGTCGAATCCCTGAGGTCGAATCCCCAAATCCGCTACTGCTATCTGGTATAAGCGTTCAAGACGTTATAATGCCGGTAACCTCTTACCAATACGAGCATTTTTTGGCACCGAATAAAGTCTCTTTGAATTTTTGTCTGACGTTTTTTTGCGGCATGAAGAGCAGGTCAAGCCCATGAGCTTCCCAAGGAACCAATTTGAGCCAAAAAATGAAAAACTCTTGTGTTGTTTGCAAGAACATCTCTGAAACTAGTTTTGATATTCAGGCTTTTTACGCTTTCGAAATAAGTTTCTCAAATTTTGATCCGACTAGCTACTTCACATAGATTTAAAGTCAAAATTTCTCGATTTGTCAAAACTTCGAACCTATATCTTAAATAGTTGCCTAGAAAACGACAAACAATTGAAGTAAAAATTCAATCATTTGCTTGTTGAAATCAAAAAATTGCAACCTTTGTGTACCGTGACATCAGCAGCCTGCCATAAAAAATGTGATATGTGGCATCATTAGTTAAATCGGGCAACCGGTAATTTTCAACTTGGAAAGAAGAAAAATTTGCAATGGTAATTTCGATTAAACCTGTTGCAATGACAGGTTCTTGTTTTGTTCCCTAGTTACCGTTTCTACAGAATTTCACAAAATATATAATGAACCAAACAGACTTTTCAGACACCTTTTAATCCAAAAAAAATCGGATTCAGACAAACTATCTTAACGAATGAAGATCGTTTTTCGTGAAACTCTGGTCCCAGTTGATTTCATAATCTCTATTCAAATCTCTCACTATTCTTTCTAACAAGCACAAGTTAATTCTTTAAAAGCATTACTTAAGTTGTCCATAAATCTCATAACGCCTTTACCTTAAATAACTTTGGCCTTGAAGAATTTATACCACTATTTTCGTAATCCAATTGAAATTTGTCAAAAATCGCCTCGCAAACAAAATTACACATGACTAGAACGACAGCTCTCGAAAATAATTTGGTTAAGATCTTTTGTTTTTATCAAAGCCGAACCTTGATGGGTGTCAAAGAGCATTTGAAGAGATTCAAAAATAGATTTGCCTTCCTTTTCCTTTTATCACACAGGGTTTTGCAGATTTCGAATTCTTCCCGATGCTTTTATTTGTATTCATGGGCTTATCTAATGTTCCTCCTAAGAGACCCAAATTTGCAAAATTCTAATTTCAGGACTGAAATAAGCTCCCTGCTAAACAAATGAACATATAGCTGAAAGCAGATTAAAAATATACCTAGTGCAGTTTTTGTGTCTATTTCGCATGAGGCTTCTCACTTAAAAGGGTAAAAACAAAGCAGTAAAATGTTCTATGTGGATTTAGGATGCTATAAAGCAGGAAACTGTAATCAATTTTAAGAGGGATAGAGCCTCACATAAATATGTCCCTAGTTACACGTTCAAATGCTCCTTTCCTAACCACTGGGTCTTTGAAGCATCGCGGGCTAATGGCTTTTACGACCATAGCCTTCTTAAGCTTTATAAACGAAAGAGTGAAATGATCAAATTAAAAACAGTTCGCATTGATGTTTTTACTTTTACTTATAGACCGTGACAACACGAAAACACCATGAGCATTGTGGCGTGGAAAACGAAACCGTTTTCTGTTCGATTAAAAGCCACTAAAAATTTCTCTAATTAAATTGATAGTAATTGACAAAAATAGGCATTTGATTTGAAGGCAACTGTAATATTAAACCCAACATTTAAGTGTTTCAATCTAGAACAAGCTGTGGTATGCTAAGCTATACTTGAAGAATGAAAAACAAAATACTCAATTTCATGTCCTCTCTTGGCTATATTACTTTTTAAAAAAACGAGAATAACAGAACATTTTTTTTTTTTTTTACATATTATTTGTTGAAATTCGAATCAAGACTGAGAGTGCTGAATATGATACTAAACTCGGTTATTTATGAGCGCCCGTTCTTTGAGGTAAAGGAAAAACAGAAAAAAAACATCTCAGGCTATTACCCTTGAGAGAGGTCGGAACTAAAAGAAAAAGCATGCTGTACGTTGAATATTCCATTGAAAAAGTGTTGCAAGTAGAAATCAAAAACAAACAAGGCTTCTCGTATCAAGGGGTAGCTCTGAATGTTCTGACTGCCTTTTAAGGTCTATGGAGCAGTCATAACCTGAAAAAAATAAAATTTAATAAAATAAAACAATTTTTTTTTATTTCAGTTTTTTTGTGAAAATCCTCCCACCACACGCCATATTAAGTACGAAGTGATAGATTTCGCTCCAATTAACAAATCAATTGTGGCAAATAAGCTTCCCGCAACCAATTGGGAAGGATTTCTGGGACGGATTAAATCTCCGCTTACGCGTTAATAGCGCGAAATATATCGCGCGTTAATAGTCCCGAATTGGCCAACATGGCAATCTTTGAACTATTTTCGAAAAAAAAATCGGAATAATTCTGATCGGGGTGGGTTTCTTCAGACAAACTTCCACAATTTAAATAGCAATTTTTGACTGATTTTTTTTTGTATCATTCGTAAAATATTGTTGTTCTGAGCACAAATATAAAAAGTCATTTTACCTGTGATATTTTTTTGTTAAGTTATGGGGATTCAAAGATTGCCAATTTGGGAAAATTAACGCGCAATATTTTTCGTGTCTTTAACGCGTAAGCGTAAGCTAATCTGACTTAGAAATTGTTCCAAAATAAATAGAGGCGTGCCATTTAGTCTATTCATTAGTTTGAAGTGAACACTACTCCATCGACCAAAAAAAAGGCAGTGACCGGGTTGTAGCAGAAATTGGGTCACTGTGTAATTTCAGAAAGCACAAGTCATACTTTTCTCGTCTACTAACGTATCGACAATACTAAATAGCTCGCCTTAAATTAAGTTCTGAATAATTTACAAGCTGGATTAGTTCGCTTAAGAGATCTTTTAGTATGGATGAAAAAAAATTCAGCTAGAGCCACAAAAATCAAAAGTAACTGAAGCACAATAACTTCTGTCACTTTTTTCTAAAAATTGCAATAGCCTGTATTTTATGCTTAGCATCAATTGTACGTTAGCACTGGTTATGTGCATATACTGCAACAAACTGACGAAGTAATTGAACCCAAAAATGCATATTCTGCTTTAGTGCCGTATTCGGAGACGATAAGTAATTAGCGTTAAATATTAATGTAAAGGGTCATTAGTGAAGATAGAAAAATGATTACTGTGGGATGTGAAAATTTTTCAAAAAAAACTTTCGAAAACTTCGGCAACTTTTTAAAACCAACTAACTCCGTTTTCGATCACTTTTAGAAGAGTTTAACCACTAATCAGGTTTTTTGGTGCACGCTTCTCTCTCAGAATTAACATACTATGGCACTAAAGATGCCTGAAGAACAATTTTAGGATTGGTTGGCCAAAAATAAATGCCATAAAACAGTATCACAGGCGTGGAAGCTTTGAGTGGCGAGGTCGACCTGGGCGTCTGCATAAATCCTCCCTGGTCTGAAAATCAATTTATTGTCTATACAGCATAAAGTTGATGCTTCAGTTCATTTTTTTAATTATCAGTCCGTTAGTTTATGCTTGCAGAAAAAAAAGACGTTTACAAAGTGGATTTTTCCGTAATTGCTCAATTCAAATGGAGAAACGATATTTTCGGGGATATTTTATTTTAAAAAGAATATATTTTCTATGTTTTTGTTAAAGAGAGCTGCGACCACAGCCAGAAGATAGATCAATTTCAATCAAACTTTCATAAAGACATCAAAATGAGTTACCCGATATGAACCTGATGATAAATCGAGCATAACATCAGGTGTTGCGTGCAAATGTAACTGGCGAGCTGAGCTCCAAAAACAGTCAATAAAAAGATCTAGCTATCAAAGGCACCAATTGATCTGAGGTTTAGTCTCACAGTCGGTCACATATGTGGTAATGTTAATAACATACCGCAGACACAAATGGTCCCAAGGAAATGGCACAATAAAACGGGGGCGAGAGGGAAGTCATTTTTCAAGTTTCCCTCATCAAAGCTCCCTTGATTACTTTAGTGGTCTCCACAACACGAGATTAGTTGACGAATCTCTTGCAACTGCAACAACGAACAGAAACATAAAAGAAGGATTTTCAGGGCGAGAAGTTACAAGTCGAGGACACTTGAAAGTGACAAAAAAGTTAGAAAAAATCGATGACTACCTTTGTCAAATAGGCACACCGAGAATAGCACATGTGAAGTAAAAAGTATTCAGACACTAGTACAAAGATCAGCAAATAAATTATGAAGAAAACACGGATTGCAGCTAGTAGCACCGAATGTTCCTCCCTAAAAAAATAGTTTCAAGAAAAAAATGAAAAAGCAGACTCGAAATACATTTTGTTTTTATCTAATGTTTCATTTTTTTTCTAAATTTCCTGTTTTTAGCGGAGGGCGATTAAATAGTTGAAAAACTGTAAGAAGAGGTGATTAAAGGTAAATTAACGAACAAATTGTAGTAGAAATGAACTGCTGAGATTAAGTTAGCTAGAAAAACGGAAATTTATTTCTCGACACGGCTAACTTGAAATTTTTTCTCGACACGGCAACTTGAACCACAGAAAGAACTCCTTTTTGGTACCAAAATTAAAAGGTAGTCAAATTTACTCAGGTATTCATCAACCGAAAAAACTCAATTTACGTTGTAGTTTCCGAAGCAATGCAGAGGGCACTTAAAACATGAAATTATTGGAAAGGTTTCATCCTTCTCCTAAATTCTAGATTACTCTTCGTGTTCTGACCGAACACCAAAGACAAACTTGCGAAGTAAGAATCCTTTTTTTTTCAAAGAACGGTCAATAAGCGTCCAGCCCACGAGGTTTAAATGCGTTTCACATTGAATTTACATTTACTTTGGGTGACCAGAAACAATTGACTAAAAAACTATATATTCAGATAACTGAAATTTAAAAAGTTCACCAGTTTCGTTGTTCGATTCTAGTCTTCAATAATTGAGATCCCATTTTAGGACTGTAAATTCCTGTCGAATTAGTTCAAGCTTATAATAGCATTGACGTGAGACCAAGTCCTGCAGTTTTGTTCATGCTCTACAGATCATTTAGTCACACGCTCACAGTCAAGATTTCTGTTTTTTTCTTCTATCTTTTAATGAATTTTGATTCAAAGATTACACTTCAAACTTGAAGCCGAAGTGGGACTGGTTGACATGTGTTAATTCAAATTATAAAGCTCAGCATTTATTTATGAGTAGATTCGCGAGGGAATTGAAGACAAGTCCGGCAAATGGGCTGGGGAAAAGGGTTGGGAGGGAGAAAACTAAGTTAAGTGAAAGCGCTGTCTGAATTTTAAATACTATTCATTATTCATGACAGCTCTCATTAGGATCAACAGGCGAAGCACAGCTCTTATCTAAACTGCAAGCAGTCATTTACAAGTGCAGTGTATTGTCGAACCAACAGCTTAACAGTCTAGAATTTAAATGGCGCAACTGACATTGAGTTGGCAAAGCATGTTTTTAAATTTTATTGACCGGCTCTTGACTGGGAAAATCCAGCGGGTAATTGCATATCGAATTGGGAATTTTCCCATTTTGCGCTTCTAGGCCCACCCCCACGCGTTCAATTAATCTGAGCACTTGGTAATTCGGTCAACTTTAATACCATTATGGGACCGAAGTCTCACTCCTCATTTTGAAACGATTAGATTTGGAAGTCTCAGGAGTTTTCTTGATTAAGCAGAAAAAGAGCACTCATAAAATGAAGTTTTAAGAATCAGCTCTGATTTACATTCTAAACCCAGGTGAAGTTAGAAGAACAAGGGACCGAGACCATTCGCCGACATTATTTCAATCAAAATGTTGAACCCAAAAACTCCCAACTTGCAGCAAAATGCAAAAACCATTTCAAAAAAAGAGGAATGCTAACAACGATTATCTACATTGTGAATACCGTCGAAACAGAGACCAGAATTTAACGAATTCAGTCTTCTTAAAAAGAAATTTAAAGTTAAAAATTTAACCTATTGGTTGTTTTTCAGATTGAAGGCGAACTTAACAACAAAGACGAACATCTTCAATCATCGAGCTCCAAAATAACTTCCACCACCAATGAGAATGAAAATGACAGACAAACACAGAAACGACCCACTGAAAACCATTCAGCCGAGCGAAACGTCGATAATTTGAACGGCCAGAATGCTAAACCCAACGATGACGCAACAATATGTGATAAAAAGATGACATCACCGAAGGACATCCAGGGTCCAAAGAGGACTTCGGTGGTGTCTGGGAACAGTGCGAGTAGTGCAAGTGTGAACAACAGTGCAGTTCTGAGAAAAGAGAGACACAATTACACCAAGATGGTCTTGGAGTACATCCACAAGATGAGGCAGCTCAACATTCAGTTGCTCAAGGACAAAATCAACAGAAGTGAGTGTTGCATCTTTACGGCTAACTTGCAGTCATACAAAAAATAGTCCTAAAGTTTTCGCCCCGAATTGGAATATAATGCAATAGAATGAAATTACGACCCAATGTTTTTTCAAAACAAGCGAGAAAAAACACTGATAAATGTTATTCAAAAAAGTTCATATAAATCAAAAACAACAAAGGGCGACAGCTAAAAAACACTCATTATTTTCTTAAAATAAGCAATAAAATTTGTTTCTTACTCTAGAGCAATACTACCATTACTACCACAGTCACCATGCGAAGAAACACTCATCAGGAGACGCAAATGGGGGCAGTGGAGGGAGTGTACATGGAACATCAGTCTCTCAGACATTTCTAGAGGAGGAAGATCTGCTGTTGCTGGCTGAGGAGCTGGATCTCCACCAGCAGAAAGTGATGGAGTTGGAACAGAGGGTAGGTCAAAGCCAGAGATCAAACTATATTCCCGATACGCTGAAAGGAGGTACGCATAAACGTGGTACAAAAAAACAAATGTTCACAAAAAGCCCATCTCGAACAAAAACCAATGCTTCAAAAGTTTCAATTGATCTAAATTTCAAAAGCAAAACATAGCCAACACAAAGTTGGAAAAGAGTCAAGGAAACGGAAAAAAAACTAACTTTTGTTTGAAAAAACTTCAAATTTCAAAGAACAAAAAACATGACCTTACAGCTCTTTAAAATTCCAAACAATTTATGACTAGTGCTTCTTGATAAAAATTTAAAAAATCTGAAAAAAGTTCCACTTTCAAAACTAAAAATTGAGCATGTTTTTCGCGCCATTTCCTCTTTCGTAATTGCAGAGAAAATTGAACTGAAAAACTGCAAATTTACCTAAGTGGGCATTCACGAATGCATCAATATGTATGAATGAACTTTCTGTAGTTATACATGTATTTTGAGACTTTTCCTGAAAAAAAACGAAAAACAAAAATCATTACGACCTATATAAGAAACCTGTCATGTTTTTTTTCGCCATTTTTTCTGACGTAATTGCAGAACAAATTAAACACAAAAACTGCACATGTGCCTTAGGGCATTCATGAATGCATCAATATGTATGAATGAACTTTCTGTAGCTATACGAGCATTTTGAGACTTTTCCTGAAAAAACGGAAAACATAAATCATTACGACCCACATTAGACTCTAAACTACGTTATTGGACTCTCAATGTTTTTCTGAAAAACATTGTCGAACAAACTTAATGCAGACACAGGCCAATTTTCGGTTTCGAATTTCCATTCTAATTGCAGGCGTAACATGTTCCACTTCATCGTTTTGATTTTTGCTGAAATTGAATTTACACGCACAAAGGCGAAGCACATCTTCGCACTACTTACGAAACCACACAACATAGCCTTGCACGCTAGCAGCCAAAACATGAAACCAAAACCACCAGTTCGAAAAATGTCGAAAAAAAAAACATAATTAGATAGTTGAATGATGTTGAAATTAAAGACAACACATTCAGTAAAACAAACGCGAGCGTGAAATGAAGATTCAGGAACATTTATCGAATTTCAGATAAGCCGACAATACTTGAATAAATTCCCGGTGAGCGCAAAACAAATTTGTTGCCATGAAAAACTTGACCTATCAAAGATTTTATCGTTTTATGTGTTTCCGGAGAGGGTGCATAAATTTTATAACTCCCTTCAACAACGCAAAATTAGATCATTGAGCCGATAACGCATAAAATGAAACCATTCAGACCAAATAAAGCTTCAAAGTAAGAAAAAACAATTCACAAAATTGAAATTACAGGAATAAATCAAAACAGGTTCCGATAATTCATGCTAATTGCAAGCGTAACAAGATCGGACGCGGCTTTTTCCCCGTTCATCAATTTGATTTTTTATCGTTTTGAATTTTGTATTTATACCATCACTTGCTACTATAATGAAAATTGCTTACAGAACCAGAAAATTCAGTGATGCGACAACTGAGCGGGCAAAACATCATGAGACGAACGAAGCCGACATTTTATCTGACACGGAAAATTTTCTGTGTAAAAAAATATCTACGCCGGATTCAAATCTAGGACCTTGGCCGTCCCATGCTTAGTTGTTGTTATATCTAGACTAAGTGTGTCAGCAACGACAAGAAAATTAAATTTTATAAGAAATCAAGCATCGAATAATTTAACAAGCTGTTAAGCTGAAAAAAGTTTATATTCGGATTTGATAAAGATTGCTAATTGCAAGCGTAAGAACAACGATAAACGAAATTAGCCATTCCAAATTATGCCAAAAAAGGCCAACGTGAACAAGTTTAGGAAAAATACATAAAAACTGCAGTTTGCACAACTTGTACACAATTTATTTTTGAAGTTCAACGAAGCGGGTCACAACTGGAAAGAGCCGCAAATGCTGACGTTTATTTCAGCCAAAAAGCTAAAACCAGTGTAATTTTGAATTGATTTTGTGATCATAATACAACAAGCGATGTATAGATAAAACCACATAGGGACGAACCACGAGCCATGTGGTATACACCACTTGTTGTATTATAACCACACAAAATGAATTAAAAACTACAAATGATTCAGCGTTTTAGCTAATTAAAAGCCAGTATTCGCGGCTTTTTCTCCTGTTTTGACCCGCTTCATTGAACTAAAATATTCTATAAAATCTAACCAGGAAAAAGTCATTTTCCATGAAAAGTCAGTCAGTATTGGCTTCTGCAGAAGAAACCTACATCGGTTTCAACTTTTAGCCGCCTATTAACTATTTCAAATTATGCGTTTTCAATTTTCGAACACAGAAATAAAGCTTCTTTTCGCAAACACTTGCGAGAACACGACAAAAAGCAGCTCTATAAAGTCAATAAAAAATTAGAAATAAGCTTCGAATTAGTAAAAAAATTCGGCAACCTCGGAGATTCGAAACTGCGACCTGGAGAATAATAGACTCACACACTACTTACTCAGCCACGGCAGCTTCATAGTTACCAAACACTTATCACAAACTAAGCAGGGAACAGATGCTATGCAACTTCCAATGCTACAGTGATATTTCCAATTAAGTGAACACTTTCAATTAACACTTTTATTTGCGAGTTAGGTTAAAAAAAGAAGGTTCGTAATAACACAATAAGCTGATCGCAAGTGTAATAAATTAAAGATACTGCAATTAAGAGCTGATACGATAAAATCATCAAATCATTTTTTGGCTCTGCATTAAATGACAAATGCGAATGTCCGCATTTTACATAATTTTAGCATAATACGTTCTTTTGCCGAGCAAAAACGCTCTCTTCAGCATTGACCCATTAACCACTTTGACTCAATTGTGAATGAAAATTGATCCGCCTTTTTGTCTTAAAAGAGTTCACATCCCGAAGGGGCGCAGGAAGAGACTCATATGTCTTGCCTGATTAGTTCAATTAGTAAGACGTGAACTCCAACAGAAGCCCCTGAAATAGTAATCATATTGCGCTGACAAACTGACCGAATGAATCACAAAAATGGGGGTAAAACGATGCTGTTAATTAACTCGGCGAATTACACGAATTTAGCCCAAGCCAACGGCATTAAAAACCAATTACCACGAGAGAAAACCTAACCCCACATAAATTACGTTTAGATTTAAATAAATGAACCTTAATGAACCAACCAAAGATTTGTTTATTGTGTAAAATCGGTCCGTTTCTGTTTGGAAAACTGCTTTAGTAAAGGAAACAAACATTAATTTATGAATTGATTGCAACTAATTTGCTCAAACTCAGCCATAAAAATTAAAACCCAAACTTTTCTCTAAGTATGCAAGAAAAACAAAAATTCACATTCATGACTAATATCATGCAAACATATCAATTGTCACTGTGGTTCAAGTCTAAAAATTTTCTAGTCTTTTCTTGAGCTCCAATTTTAAGCTCCAAGCAGTTCTTCAGTTGTTTTCTTTGTCCTGGTCTTCCAGCTTCAAAATGAACTCAAACTGCTCTTTTGTCAAAGGCTGAACAGAAAGCCGAGACCGCGTGAACAAAGACAAATTATGCAACACTCCTTTGGGAGAACTTTTTGCATGGTCCAAGTGGAGTTTCTTCAGCTCTTGTAAACCAATCAGGCGTTTGGTCTTGCGGACGAATTTAACGTCAACCATGTACCATTTGGGAGCATCCAGATTGCTGCTGGCATCAAAATGCGCATCTGTTCTGTCGAACTGGGTATAATCAGGATAACCTTCTTTGATAATTTTGACAATTCCAACAATTCCTGAAACACGAGATTTACCAAAATTTCATAAAAACACGCCAAATTTTGAAATCATCACAAAAAATGATTTTAACAATTAGCACGGATTTAACGCCTGGGAAACTATTTTAAATCTAATTCTTTAAATTGAACTATGAAAAGACCTCATAGCTTTGGCCTGATAGCCATAATTTTCAACATTTCCAGAATGTTTAATTTGAAACAAAGTAACCTGTATTCATCAGAACTAACCCGGTTGTTTGCAATTACTGTGATAGAAAAACGCCTTTTGGTTCTTTTTCATTTGATCACGCAACAAATTCCGTGCTTCATAGTTCCTCACCCCGTCCCAGCAAGCAGTCGAGTTAGCCTCTTTAACCAAATCATCAATCGAAAACTTCATGTCAACTCCCTTTTCAAACCTACTGTCCGGTTCTGATTTCATTAGCCAGTGGTCGAAAAATTGAGGCTTCGAATCTGCGACTGTTTTCTGAACATCTTCGTCATAAGTCTTTGATTTGGAAGAAGATGTGTTTTTCTTTTTGTTGACTGCATTTTTGCCTGAGCGTGTGAGCTTAGGAGATTGATCCTCCTTAGAAATTTGTGCTTTTGTTCGAACCATTCTCCTCTGAAAAGCTAAAGAGTTTACAATTATTTTGTAGCTTTAGCTGAAGAATCGAGAGCGTATTATAGTTTCATCATTAAACCCGCTAATTCAACAATACCGAAACCTTTTCTGTACCAGATATACCAAATTCCTTACACACCCAAAATACAATGAGACTTCGACTTGTAATCACGGATGCTGATTCAACTGATAAATAAAATGACAAAATCATATACAAAAACAAAAGGCCTGAATCACACTCAAATACTGGATAATATCGACTGAATTTGGGCACTTCGTTCATGTGGTTTTTGTTAGAATGTAATGGCAATGTTTTGAGCTTTGCTCGAAAGTTGATTTCCCAAAACTCAACGTGAAAAAATGAAACATTTATGTGACCCCATCGATCTTCGAGAAATAAAACCCCAATACCCAATGAGGACCGCAATAAGAAAAAATATATTTTCCTGTTCAGTTGGGCAACTGGCACCTGTGGCTTTTGGAGTGCAGCACAGCCGCCGAACCCCATGTCTCCTCTTCTTCCACCTCGGTAAACGCCACCCAGACAAACACACCGGATCCAACAGAGGAAAACAACAACATTAGGCATGGAGACTCGTCGGCTAGTGGGACTTGGTTCTCGCGATGGGACGCCATGAAATCGGAGTTGGATATGTTGGCTGTCGAGAGCGAGAACACCTGTACTCTAGTGCGCATTGCGCTGACTAGACACAACAGACTCAGGTCTATTCTTCAACAGAAAGGCAAGTACTGCTCACAGAAAACATTTTGAACAAGCACGTTTTTTTTCGCTATCAGATCAACTTGTTTCGAAAGGCCGAAACGAATATTAGGGATGCCAATGTAACTTTTAGAGCTCTTAAAACAACTTCAGCAAAAATTGGGATTCTGTTACAAAATTAGTAGCATCGAAAAAGTGTACTACATTGTTTTTCCATAATAAGATTGACCAGTTAGAATTGGAGTCTAATATTTTCTAGGAGCCTCGATAACAGCTTCGAGTGGAAGTGACAGACGACGCAAGACCACTGCTTCCGGAAACCCTCGCGGATCACATCACAAGCGAAGAGGCGGTGGCAACAACACGCACGTGTCTAATGCCTCGTGTGACCAGAATAACTCTGGGAGTAACTCGGCTGGCGGGGGAGGGGCAAGCGGGGGCGCGGGGGAGCAGAGTGTGTGGGTGGAGAGAAGTGACCGAAGTGCAAGTGGGGGCACTAATCCGAGGAGCATCAAGGTCAGCTCCATAGTACATTTCGAACTGCAGCTTTGCTCCTCTTTTGATATTTGCTCAGAAAAATAACTAAATTACATCCCTAATTTTTGGGAGAACCAAGTTCTTTCATTCTTGCTTTCCAGTAAAACATCTCTGGAAAGCCTTTCTGGGTCCTTTGGGATATGCCAGAAGCACCGGCACCAACTATCATATCAATTTGCAAGATGGTGCTTTCTTATCAATTTGTCAAGGTCTTTTCGAAAACGAGAAAAAAATTTTTTTAAAATACCACCTTTTCCGTCTAAAAAGACCCTCGAAACAGGGGCGGATCTAGGTTTTCTCGAGGGGGAGGAGCATTTTCAAAAACTTTGTCAATCCTTTTTAGGCCGACCAAATTGGTTTTCAGAGCTCTTCAGAGCACTAAAAAGACCGGCTCTTTTTTCCTTTCCTCCCACACATGTTCGTCAATTTTATGGTATAACGAGTAAGTTTACAAAGTTAAGTATTAAGACCAAATATGGATATTGCGAACAATCGGATATTGCGAACAATAACTTTACTTGTAAAAATTCGCACGTGCGGGAAAAGAAAAAAGAACCAAAATACCTTATTTTGGCCAATTTTTTTGGGCCACAGGCAAATTTAAAAAAAAAACAGACAAAAAACGCATTTTTAAGCATTTTTCAAAAAAAATTTGACGAAAAAAAAACGCGTTTTGTGGCGCGCTCCCCCTTCAAAATTATTATATATACGAGCGCCAAAGACGCCTTTAGAAAAATTTGAGGGTCGGTCAGACAAAAATGGAAGTATTAAAATACTACTAAAGGGGGACCCTTTGGGTAGTCAGGTGGTCGAATCCCCCCTGAGGGGGAGGGAGCGTCTGCCTCTTCCCTCTAAATCCGACCCTGCCTCGAAATATATTTTAGGATTTATGGTAGCTAGTACCACTTAGAACTAATTTTCACCTTCAAAATAAGCTTCACGAATCATCATCCAATAAAATCCTATTTCGCTCCAAAAATTTTCCTTTTCTTATCTGCTCTTTATCTGGAAATTTACTGTTTTTTAGATTTTTAGGAGAATAACTTGATTTGACTGTGAACAAAACTAGTTAGTGATATTTGATTTAGCGCTTTTTTGACAAAAAAACTGTTTTCTTGAAAATTTTTTAAATTTTTTGTGCAAAAAGTTAAAAAATTATTTTTTTTTTCATTTTTTTAAACTCATTTTTTGAAGACAATTGCTGTCGATGATGCCTAACATGCCAATTTTCTACGCGATTAAATAGTTCTACAATCACCTCTATCACTAAAAACGAGACTAATTTGAAGAAAATGTAAAAAAACTTCCTATTTTTTTAAGAATATGATAAGAACATTCTATGCTACTTACACAGCAACCGGCTAACCTTGTTAATTTCTTGAATTTTTCAATCAAATAACATTTAAGTGCATGATATTCCAGGAAGCAGAGACGAGTGGCGACGAAATTTGGAAACGGACCAATCAGGTTGCAGTTGTTGGCAAACCACAGGGAACCAATCAAAATTTAGCACTACCAGCTAGCGGATATAAAAAGGGAACCAAGGGCCATGTTATACGACAGTCTAGCACTGAGTCCGAAATAACTAAGGTAGCTAGTTGCCCATTACGCCAAATAACAAAACATGTTAACAGATCTGATGCTCCCGATTGCACGAAAAAAGCAATTTCTAATGCATGTCCTAAGACTTCCAAATATTTCAAAGGTTCCAATCGGAAAAAAAACTAAATACTTACAATACAACAATTATTGCAATAGATCTAATCATTCATTTATTTTGTTCAGGAAATTCGCAAGGTAGGAAACATCACCTCGAGATTTTGATGGTTCATCGAATCCAATAAAGTATAATCATCATCACACAGTCTGGAGAGTTTTAAAGTGAAATCATTTACACGATAAGAAAAACGATTTGTCAATTGAACAAAAAATGCATCTTTTTAGATCACTGGTCGCAAAGAGGAGTCTGATTCCAACAGTTTCGGTATTGAAGAGTCCAAGAAAAGTCAACCAATTGCAGAAGATCCTCACATGCAGAGCCAGCAAACATACGACCCAACAAACATACAGCAAACAGTACACAAAACCACTCAAAACATTTCATCGATCAGTCATTTGAGATCCAGTAAAACCCAGTCACAATTTCTGGACAACCAGTTTCCAAACGAGCAATGGACAGACAATGATCTTGCGAGAGGTTCTCATTTTTACACTGGCGATCGCAAATTGTATCGCAATCAGACTATTGCAAATGCACCACAGCAGCATCAGTATGCTCAGCAACATTATTACCCAAACCAGGTCTTTTCGCCTCAACATCAACAATTTGTAGTAGCAGGACAGCCATATGCGACCATGTACCACCCTCAGCATGTCATCAATTTTGACCAAAGGGGAAGGTCCTATACAATGGTTCCTCAAACGTCCAAAGTAAAAGAGCAGCCTCAAGGTCTGGTTGTCCTCGAACGAGCGAAAAGTGTTGAGGCACCGGAACGTCGGAGAATGAACCAAGCAACGTCTCATGACGAAGCAGAAGTCCAAACCGACAAAAATTCTTTCGAGCGACAGGAATCTGAACCAGTTCGGATGTCCAAAACACATCGCAGCCGCTCAACAATGTCGTTGCCTGCTCATCCTGCTAAGTTGCACGAGACTTCGTTCATAGAGAGTTCGCCCAAAACTGTAAACCTACTCGAGCAAACACTCAATGGCCCCAATGCGGTGTCTCAGTACAGCATGTTAAGAGGAGGACGCATGCAGTCCAGCGAGTCACGAGACTCTTTATTTTCGGTCCCGCCCAGATTGCCGCAGCAGATGCCGCAGTCGCCACTTGCGCAGAAACGGTCGCAGGGTACGGATACAAATCCTCGGGCGACGCCCATTTTTCTGGACGGAGGAAACATTTTCTCGACAAAGAGTGGAGGCGTATACAGGATTAAACCTCCTCTGAATGATTTGCAAGGTGGGTACCAAATGCGATATTGTTCAGCTTGACTGCCTTATTTCGTTAAATGATTCCACTATCATCGAAAATTCCGCATTCATCGAAGATACTACAAAAACTGAGGTTTTGAGCCCTATTCACAATAAATGACATATTTATTAATGTTGCTTAACCAGTTTACTCGAAATCAGCACTTTTGTCATTATATAGAAATAACTGACGGTATGTGAATGATTTTCAGGCAATGACAGGCGACGCGAAACACGTGTGAAACCCACGCCTGCTCCATCGGGCCAGTTCCCCATTCCTCAGCAGCAGAGCTACGACGGAATGAGCGACAGCGGGATCATGGACACAGACGGTCCGGGTACTAAGAGCGATTCTGAATTGGTTGCCTTGAGCAAAGCTCAGAAGACTCCGACCCATTTCTACCAAGTTCAGGCAGTTCCCCAGTACACTGTAGGGGGGATACCGGTTCAGATCTCACAACAGCCAATGCAGACTATGACTCCACATAAACAGGTGCAAAACCGCTCCGATGTTCGCTTAAAACAGTTTTTGAGAAACTTTAGTCCACCGCACGCACCACACACCCCTTTCATTTGACTTTCAATTTTGTAAACCAGAACTAGCGCTGATATTATGTAATTAAACTCTGCATAATGATCAAACTGACAGGCACCCAGATCTTAATCGAAGTTTACAATATCGTTTTTAAAAATTAACTAGCGCATGACTCGCGCCTACGGTGCTTCAACTAGATCGTTGACCGTTAAAAAAAAAGTTTCCTAAAACATCTATCAGGGTTTTCTCTTTCATAAAAAACGCCATGACTCGAAAACCAGAATGATTTGAGCAGTATAAGTTAGAGTCTAGATGTGTACCCTGACAGTACCCCTTGAATGTACTCTGATAAAAGCCCACCATTAGGGTGGGAATTTCAAAATCGGTAAAATTTCCTCAACTTAAGTTTTTTGAAAAAAAAAAATCATTAAAATCACCACATCTCGATAAGCCAAAAGGATTTGATCAGTCATATTTAGAGGACAGATTTGCAACGCCAATATGTAACTGACAGGACCCCGCCTAAGGGTTGAAACTTTGAAATTCTGTTAGTTTTTTATCTCTAAATTTTTCGGAAAAAATGGAAAAAAACGCCCCATCTTGGAAATTAAAAAAAAATCGATCAGTGACAATTCGAGGGAAAAATGCAAACCCTGAGTGCACCCTGACAGCACCCCACTATAGGGTTGAGAATTTCAAGTTGGGTTAGTTTTATCCCTAAGCTTTTTTTTCAAATGAATAAAAAATCATAAAAACGCCATAGCTCGAGAACCAAAAATGTTTGAGCAGTCAAACTTGGTCGCCAGATTTGCAACAGCTGAGTGTACCCTGACAGCAACCCACTACAGGGTTGAGAATTTCCACTTTGGTTAGTTTTATAAATCTAGTTTTTTTTTTGAAAAAAAAACATAAAAACGCAAAATCACGAAAGCAAAAAGATATGAGCAGTCAATTTTGGACGCCAGCTTTGAAACCACTGATTGTATCGTGACAGCAACCCACTATTGGGATAAGAATTTAAAATTTGGTTAGGTTTTTTATATCTAAATTTTAAAAAAATCATAAAAAACGTGGTATCTCGAAAATCAAGATTTGAGCAATTATACTGGGACGCCAGATTTGCACCCCTGAATGTACCCTGACAGCACCCCACCTTGGGATTGAGAATTTCAAGCTCGGTTATTTTTTCATCTAAATTTTTTGAAAAAACAATTGTAAAAATCATTAAAAACGCTATATCTCGAAAAACGCAGTCATACTAAGACGCCAGATTTGCAACCACTGAATGTACCCTGACAGCACCCCAGTAGAGAGTTAGGAATATGAAACTTAGTTAAATAAATTGTGAAACATTTTTTTGTGAGTTTTACGTTGCGAATATAAGAAAAATGTAGAGTTACAGCATTCGCGCTCCAACAGATTTATAAACGTCGACTTGAAAAAATATTTACCCTTTGCAATGTTTTGGCCTTTTAACAGACCAGCATAGCGACCTCTTAAAGAATTGTCAAGTGATATTTCTTAAGCATTACAGTATACGATATAGCTTAAACGTGCAAAAATTCTTTCGCCAAAGGTGCATAAAACAATACGTTGTAAAAGCCTTAAACATGTCAACATAGGCCCTTCTTAAACATATGGCAAGTGAAACGCCAATTAAAAAACGTATAGATAGATAGATTTGCGAGACAGTAAACTTGATTTTAATTATTTTTAAGTCACCAGTCACGCAAAATATGGTCGCATAAAAACGAGTACAAATGGATAAATGGTTAAATTACTCCTTCTAGGTAATATGTCCCAAACGTGACCAGCAGGAGAAAATTTTACAGCTAAAATGTTGGAACTGATATTCCAGTTTTAACAATCTAATAAAATCCTCGAAGCAATTAAAGGTTGGCCAATAAAGCAACTTCAGCACAAGACAGTGTACCGTGCGTGGTGTTACATGCATTTGTTAGTAAAGCAGTTTTTGATGGCATTTACTGGAAACTCTGAAAAGCTAAGAAACTCATTGCACATAATGGCTACAAACACTCCAGATTCTGCTTTTATGCAGAATGTCTGCCTTAAAACTAAATTTAGATTCCTGCCCAGTCCTTCAAAAGTTAACAGAAACGTGCAGATCACATGCTCTGCTGAACTCGAGGTTAAAATAGGTTTGTTTTCAGACCCGGTCGGTTCTTAACTCGATTTGTTTCAGAAAAAGAAGAAAGGCCTGACAGGAGCTGGTCACGCGTTCAAGAACAAACTGCACAAATTCACTAAAGACCTCGAGGCTCATTTACTTCCAGAAATAGCAGTAAGTTGTTAACCGTCGCTTAAAATAACATTACCAGAGAAGGAAAAGTAGATTGAACATTAACGCAAAAATACTTGCTGACCGAACTACAAATCAAGTTAATAAGCGGTGTTATTTTCGGCTAGCTGAATGCTATATTTCAGCCTGCTGTCTTCAATTGACCTTCATTCGTTTATTGTACCATTAAAATGAACTAATTTGAAAAATTATTCCCTTTGAAATTATCCTATAAATCAAATTTTAACGCGTTCGAGCTACAGATAGACAAATTGAACAAAATCAAAGAAATTAACAAAGTCAAAATTTTTTCACGGGTAAATGTTAAAGCCCAAACTATGGTGTTATTGCTATCAGTACAATAAAATGCTACATGAAAATTTGTTGAAAATTATATTGTGAATAACAAGCTGAATAGAAAAGCCGGTTAATTTGTTTTGTCTTTTGCAAACAACTACTGTTCAAAATTGAGTACGGGCGAGCTACTTAGGGCGAATGGCTACACTAAAAACTGTCCCTTTCAATTTGACTCTAAGGGAAAACTATCCTAATTTACCTTCCCAAAATACCCTGAGTATAATTTAAGAGGGGTAGTTTTGGATATTGGTTACGGATAGTTCTCAGCTTAGCAAATTCCCTCGAGAACTTCACAAATACTGCAAAATGTCAACAGAAATTCTAAAAATCTGAAATGAAAATTTACAATACAACCGTTACTTTTATTAAAACACATGCTAGTTGATCCCATTATGAGCCTATGGGCGGAGTCTTATCAGACCATGAACAGAAATCGACTTACTGATGAACTTTTTGCAATTATGTGTTCACATATTTACACACAATCGAAATACTTCCATATACGATTGTTCAGAGCAGAGCGAAACCCTGTATATTCAACTTCCTTTAAAACCATTTCAATATTTTTTAATTAAAAACAAAAATTGAAAAAAAAACTATCAAAACGAAAAATAAACTTTTCCAGAAACTCACCTTCCTCGTTTAGATTGCAACTTTGAACTAACTCTTGATGAAATTTGCGTCCAGCCGGAACATAATGGACCCATTAGCAAGCATGCTTACTTCTATTGCTGCTAAGCGCCAATTAACTGGCAACATACGCTCAATGCATACTACGTGGAAGTGTTTTCTAGCTTTAAAGTTGAAAATTGCTTCTAACTCCGAAAAATTAGACGATCTAAAAACTCCGCCAATCTAGCGGACAATTTTTGATGTGGTAAATGTTGTCTTAGGGGAAGTGCAAAATGGCGCTTGATTTTTTAGGATGCAAACAGGGCAAACGCCATGCAAATGCAAGCACAGTTGAACGCGATGTCGCCCCAGCAACAGCAACAGTTAATTCAACAAGGCTATGCACCTCCACAAATTATGAACACAACTCAGATGACACCCATGCTTGCAGAGTTCTACGACTCAAGGAGACAACAACGACCCACCACTCCTGGCGGACAACCGCAAGTCCTGCCGAGTAACATCGGGTTCGCTCAAATGTCGACATCGCAACAGCAACATGGAGCCCCAGCTCAGTTTGTGTACGCACACACACAACAGCCCTTGATCAACGCTCAGAATGTCTCCATTTCCAGAACTCAACAGCAAATGGTTTCACCTACGCAGGTTTTTATGATTGACCAGAATAACCGAAGCATAGTTCAGAGCCCAGTGGTCCAACAACAGATGCATCAACAGCAGCAACAATTAACTGCTCAAAATATCAACGCAGTTATTGCAACTTCGCAACCTGGAATTCAAATGACGTCTCAAGTTTCTCAATCGAACTCCAACCAAAATGCAAACTTGCAACTCCCGAACGGGGATCCTTCGTGTTCGTCCCCGCAACAGATTCTCTCGCCATCTGATTCTGTTTTGTCACCGTCGTCTTCAATTTCCGGGAACAACAAGCTGGACGCACAAGCGTCCCCACGGCACTCCGGGGCGAGTAGCATGGGTTCACTTTCCGCAGCCGCCGGAGTCAATACATCCGCAGGAAGTAACCCCGGAAACCAGGGTCTAGGAAGCAAAATCTGCGCCACACCATGCTACTACAGAACCATGCCAGAGAATAAAATCCAGGTTATATATCCGGACAGTAACCGAATCTTCCAGTACACATACAGCCGAACGCTTCCACCACCGAACAAAAAGTCATCAACGCAGATCATCCAGCAAGTCCAACCAGACGGGACTCTTTCGGAAGAGAAGCTGTATTTTTTCGACCCCATTCAGCTGACAGATGCTCAGAATGAACAAATTATGACGCAACAATTAGTTAACAATGAAACCTCGCAACATCAAGGTCAGCAGTTTAACGATGTTATGCAGTTTAAACAGCAACCAAGAAGAACAGTGAATTTGGGGAGAAGCAAAAGTGACGGGTCCAATTTGGAGCACATAGGTCGAGAGAGGTTGATGAAGAGTCAGACCCCGCAGGGTGTGACCTTTGCCCACCCCGACCAATATCCTTATATTGCAGGTCAAGTTCAAGAGGGAGGCTGGTTGAACAGAAAGAAGCACACAGTTAAAGGACTGGTCAGGCTAACAAAGTAAGCACCATGTAGTTAACATTAAAAAAAGCACAGAGAAAAAATAAGTGATTCAAAATTAAATTAAAAATATATAAGAAGGACTTCAATTTTCAAAACGTCCATTCGCATAAATTAAGTTTACTTCATTTGACGTCTAAACAGACTTAGAATGTTCAAGCTGAATTAACAAAATCGCAACATGGATCTAAGAAAAGTTCAACTATCAACTCATATGTGACATTCGAATAAAGAAAAAAAAATTAATCCATGTTTGTTTGTTTCAGAGAGCTGATAAAATGAAGAAACACCCAATTTAAACGATCAAAGACTTAACGCCGCTTATCATAGCTGATGAAAAACTGCAAATTTATGGAGCTTTTTATTTTCTTAGATAGAATTATGCAATTCAAATTCAACAAAATTCCAAAAGTACACTCGCCCTTAATTAACCTCGTATTTCTATTAATTACCAAAACATACCAACAGGTAATTGCATAGAAAAAGCTTTGCGCTAGGAATTCTTCCAACATACGATTTAACATCAGTCTTTGTACCAATACTTCGCAGTTATTTTCAAAAAAAAATCTGCGCTAAATTTACCACAAGATTTGTGCAATTCTCGCTCTTAAGCATGGGAATCTTAATTATGCAGCTATTTAAACTAAACAATAACTTAAATATTCAAGAAATTATTAATTAAAAGTTTTCGATAAAATAGTTTTCAGAGAAGCTGTGAGGTTCAGTTGTCAATAGGGGTTTAAATACTTTGCAAATAACCTATACGATATTTAAGATTCTCTTTTTGGTTTTTGAAAAGGAATTTGCTTTTGTGACTTAGGTGTTGTGCCAATGACTTTTCAGAATATCAATTTTGGTCAAAAACCGTCGAAGCTAAAACCAATTGATAACAAACAAAGTTGAAGAATCGAACTCGATTGATGGGCATAGATTTTATGCATTTAACTTTCATCTCTTAAATGCATTTTTCATATTCTATAAGCAATACTTGTTTACATAGACAATGCTACACTTCAAAACAAGGATAGCTGGTTGATTTGCAAGAACGTTCCGACGTTCCATGGAAAAACTACAAAAAAAAATTTTCTTTATCAATAATTTAGTGTTGTTGTGCATGATGTGATGAGAAAACTATATATACAAACGCTGAAAATTAGTGAATTACGCCTAATCGAACATTTTTTCATAAAAATTTTATTGCCAAGAGAGCGCTAAGTGAAGCTTCCAAAACTAGTTTTCCTTCTACTAAACTCAAGTTTTCTCAGCCTAAACAACCAATTTTCAATGAATGTTACTCGATCGCTTTAACGCTCAAAATTCTACTGAAGCTAAAAAATTTTCAAACAAGTTTTTCTCAACACAGAAAAAATTTGCAAAATGTTTAAATGTCCTTCGAATCACGACTGAAATGGCTTAATATGATAAATTACTCTTCCTTTGCGATGATTATTTATGGTGCCTGATTTGGCGTGAAAACATAAAAAAAATTTAAACACACCCGAAACAAAACTCCTCCCTATTTTCAAAACAAAGTTCCTCCACAAAACACAGCAAAAAAAGCAGCTGAAAGTCATATTGTTTATCTCAAATGCCTTTATTTCAAATTGGGTTAACTTAAGAGAAAAAATGATCAGAACTAAATTTATTTAGTTTTACCAGAAAATGGTGTTGTTTATTTCGCAAATCGAACTCAAAAATTTCACCACAAATTGATAAATTTTAGCCGCTTTTAAGCCTTTCGGCATAAGATCGCATTAGACAAAAAATGATCAGAACTGAAGTTTATTAAGAAGTTCGCCAGAGATTGGCGAGCATTATTTCGCAAAACGGAATAAAAATTTCAATCCAAAGTGGGTTTTTAGCTCAATTAGGTAACCAAAAACTACTTGGTTATTTTGATCAAAGCGCAGCAAAGTTTACAAAGGGTAAAACCTCCAAAAGCTTGGATATTAGAACGATGGCCAAAAAATTTGAAATACCAAATTACCTTATCAAATACCAATAAAATACCATATAAAACACGAGACAATTATGCAGTCAGATGGGAGTGGCCGCTATTCATATTATTCACAATTTTTGAAATTGGTATAGTAGTTTTGAGGAAAACCAAATTTTTTGCAAAAAATGAAAAATCTTCTAAAGCGTTTCAAAAAAAAATAAAAAAACAATATCCCATAGTTTCATAATATCTGTTTGCATGAAATAGGAATTTGTATAACCTGCTGTTTTTATCGATCAGGTTTCGAAAGCAAAAAAATGCTATCACAAAACCTTCTTTTATCAAACAGGAACTTATAAGTAAGAAGCTTTTGAAAGCGGAAAAAAACGATGCTTTAGCATAATGGTAAGGCGTTCACTTCGAGATTGCCATGGCAAAGACAGTGTGTGAGTACGAGTTCTCACTTGACCTCTAGCTTCAAGTCTACCACAGCCTGACAGATTACAGCTGCAATTTTGTTGCCACGTGAAAGTTCTAAACGCAAAAAAAAACGACCTTGAGTCGCAAAAAAGCGTTGAACAACAAAAAAAAACCATTCTTGAATGTGGGGAATAAGACACACGGACTATGCTTAGACAGGCTGGATATCCTTTCATATCCTCTGCGAATCGCAGAAACCACAATTATTATTAATAACTCACGGAATGCCTTACAAACGCTGTCAAATCTCGAATTAAAGCTTAAAATTCAACTGAATACTCGAATCTAAACTCAGCATAAAACATAATATAAGCTATTAATTTCGGCAATTTAACATAACAAAAAAGTTGTTATTACGCTATGAATTGGTTGGTAACAAAACGTACAGATATGCTTCAAGATAATTTAAGAACAAAAGAACTGAAACAAAACTATCAAGAATGCCAAAATGGAACCATTAAAATCGCAAAAAAAAATCAAGAACCGCATTAACCAACAAGAATTATTTTCGAGGTGAAGACGCTCAGAAAAAAAGCTCATTTAGTGTCAGAAAACAAAAGAAAAGAAGAACTCAAAAGCTTGAGAAAAAAAGCTTTTGACTGAAGTTTATGATGCTGAATATCTTCCTGTTAGTCACCAAACTGATGCTAGAAAACTATTCCATGATACTCTCTACCTTTTCTATAAATCTGTTTATATCAATGGCAAATAATCAGCGGATAGGAGTCGAAAGCAACTCAGCAGAAATATAACCTCTAAATGAGGGACGGGAATACCGATAGATCTTGAAGGACATAAATGTACAAAAAGGTATAATTGTGGTAAATAAGGTAAAACATAACTGAGAAAGCGGTAGTGAAAAGCATACGTCTTCGCATATTAATGAAAAAATCGAAGCACACCATAATCTGTCCTTGAGGCAATATGACCGAGACCACAAAAAAAAAACAATTTTTAACCAGCGACGCAACAGCGGTTTTCCCGGAAGACTGAATAAATATTTTCAGTGAAAAGCCGACTACAAAGTTAATAGTATAGCGCAGCTAGAGGTCACGCCTATTTTCGGAGAGAGGTCAGCCTAAGAATGTCACGTGGAAATGTACTCTAGCCTAATCTAACTTTTAACTCGGACTCAATCGGAAAATTCGTCCAATTGTTAATTAAAGGAATTATGTTATGACATCGCTAAGGGGGAATAAAATCTTATCAGATTAATTTTTCATTTGAAGTATTTAATCGTTATTGAGTTGGGTCTCGCTGAAGATTATCAGCTTATTAAGAAAACTTTTGAAGTAGCTGTATCTATTTTTTTCCGGGGTGATGGTTTTCAATCTACGATTAATCCCTTAAGTTTGTGAAAGTTATCCTTGATTAAACATTTGAAATGATAATTTAAATGTTCCAGATTCAATGTTTTCCTAGTCTCTCGGTGTTACTTTTATAGCATTTCCTAAAAGTTTACTTGAAATAATTTATCTCAAAATTTGAACTTCTCACAATCATTTTTGTGTGATATTGCTTAAATTTAATGTAAATTTGAGTATATTTATTCCCTTTCAAATTTTTTGGTTATCCCCATTAGTTACTTACACTGACATCTTAACCAAACCAACTATGAAACTTAACATACATTCTAGCAATTTCTTAACACAGTGGCGAAGTTGCACTTCGGATACACAAGCAAAATATGACCGATAACGCTACTGACTGGGAAAAACTGAATGAGTAAAACTTTGAGTTTTACAAAACTTCCTTAATGACGCACGCCAATTATGAGTCTACATAATTGCTAAGTGACGCAAATGAATCGTGGGGCATTTGCAGTACCAGTCAAGTAGAAAAAGAAGAAATTTACCAACTAACATGCCTCAATTTATAGAGCGGACGCATTTTAACTAGTATACAAAAAAGTTCATTAACAACATCGGACCATTCCCTGGTTCGAACCCTCTCATTTTATTGCGGGTCTCCTTCCCTACCTCTACGCTATAGATCCATGATACGTTGAAGCTAACGTGATATTTGTAACATAATAGTCTGCGTTAATATCCTTAGTAGCTATACTTGATAGTTGCTTATTGATCAAAATCAACACTTCCGAATTGAACACATTTTGTCGCAACAACATTAGCGCGCAATAATATTTACGACTTAGGTTGGAAAAGAAGAGAGTTCATACTATCACACAAGCTTTGCTTGTGTAATCAAAGTTTCAAGTCAAAGTTTTCAAAAATCTTCTCTCCAAAAAATGAAAGTATACAATCCTTTCAGAAACTTAGAATTATAGAAAATTTCTTTCATTTCCAGCTATTTCTAAATCTCCAACTCAATTTATCAATTGAACCTGCCTCTTCCTCCAGCATACAAAATCTCGCTGAAACTTCAACTCAGCAAGTTCGTCCAACTGTCGATATTTCACTGAATCCTGCGTTTCCATCCATTAAAATATTTATCCAAGAAGAATTCAGTTTTTATCATTCAAAATTTTAAAATATATATTTCTATTGAAGGGTTCAGAAGCAGTTTTTCTTTTCCTATCTAAGAATTGAACACCACCAACAGTCTCAGTTCACTGAAAGTTTTCGTGTCATGAAAAACATAAACGAAGACTCTAATCAAAGTGAAACGTAGAGCACTTTGTCAAAAAAATTACAAAACCCCCAGTAGTTTTCTCAACGAATTGATCAAAATACTTTGCTCACCTGGATTAAAACAATTAGGAAACGAACAGAAAGCTTGTTTCATAGATTATGACAATGACAAAGATTGCAGTGACAGATCTACTTGGAAAAAGTATTGACATTTACTCCGTCCAATAGAGATTTTATTGTAAATGTTTCAAATTTTCGAAAGAAAAATGGACAGTCGATAATGTGGCGATCATTACGGAGGTTGTTTGCCCAGGCAAATGATCCAAGTACACGTCTTACCAATAACGCATAACATCGACAACCTGGTAACTTAAAGAAAAACCAAAACCAACAAAAAACAGACGATCTCTCTATAAGACGAAGATTAGAATGTTGAAAATAGGGTTTTGAAATTTCTACAGTAAGTTGTTTACGAATCTAGTTTCGCACTAAAGGACCAAGAGTGATCAATCCATCAGAACTCAATCAAAACCTAAATTGAATTGACAAAAAAATTATTTGAAAGATGTAATATATCGGATGCGGCTTGAAAGATACAGGAGCAACAAAACTGCTATTAATAACCGAATAGTTGCAAAACACGACTGTACAA